CGTAGCATCTTCATATTTCTCTCTGACTCTGAACTTGTGCCTCCTTCTTCCACGTTTAAAGGACCCTCATGATCACAGATAATCAGGATAGTCTTATAGTAAGGTCAGCTGATTAGCAACCTTAATTCCATCTGCTATCCTTTTTCTCCCCTTGCCATGTAACAAAACAAATTCACAGGTCCCAGAGTTTAGGACATGGACATCTTTGAGGGACCATTATTCTGCCTACCACATATGCAGTATAAGACGTTGAGAGTGATGGTGAAGAGAAAGGTTGGCATGATCCATCAACCCCAGGTGGAGAAGATCATCCACCCAAAAGGAGCCTATAATCTGATATTAAAAAAAAATAGAGGAGTCAAGTTCTGGAGATTTTCCTAAGGTATAATGGGTGTGTTTCAGTTAACTATTGTTGCATAACAAACCACCCCAAAACTTGGTGGCTTAAAACAATGATTTATTATTTCTCATGATTCTGTAGATTGGCTAGGTGATTCCTCACATGGTTTCACCTGGGCTCACTCATCATGTTACATTCAGCTGGAGGGTTGGCTGGGCTAGAAAATACAAGATGGCCTCATGTATGTGGCATTTGGTGAGACCATCGGCAGGGCTGCCTCCGTTATTCTCACTGAATTCTCCTTTTCTGCTAAGCTAGGCCAGCTTTCTTAAATGATGGCCTCAGGACAACATTCCAACAGCATGAAAGTGGAGCTGCAGGGCCTCTGAATGCCTTGACTCTGGAACTCACCCTGCATCCCCTCCATCACATGCTTTTGGGTTGGGCCAAGCAATCATTATCCTCAAATTCAAGAAGAAGGGAAGTAGATGCCTTTTCCTGATGGGAGTTGCTGCAGTGGCCATATTTCATCTAGCACAGGCTGGAAAGGTAGGAGTTTTTGCTCTGAGAGTAGGATTTTGAAATTTGAGATTTCAGAGATAAAATGATTCTGGATGACAACAATATCCAGCACCTGGCCAAAAGTTGTGACCAGCTCAAGCAGGGTGTGGAGAAGATCACTGGCATTGAAGAAGTGAAGAAACTGTGAGGCTAGGGTGTGGGATGCAACATTCTTTGGACACAACAAGAAGGCTGGGGGTTGGTGGTGGTGAATGCAGAGGAGTGACCTAAAGTCGGGTAGATGACAGTAATAATGGTGGAGGCAGATACGGGGTAATCAAGGCGGATGGACTAATTTGGTAGCCAGAAGATGATGGCCACAGTATTCTAAGTCAGCCTTGTGGATGGTGGTCGCTGGCACCCAGAGTGGCATCCACCCTGCACCACTTCACCAAATCCTTCACTTCCCAACCTCCACGTTGTCTTGTTCACTGGCCAATTTTTAGATAAACTTACCGCTTCTGACTTCCAGAGTGTGCAGGTAGATTCTTCAGGTAGCATTTTAACTATCAGGATCCGTGTCCTGATGATTCACTGAAAGTATGAAATGAAGTTCAAGTCGGTTTCGAGTAAGATTACAAAGCTGCCAAAATAACAGGTTACCGGTGTCAGTTCCTTCTGGCTTTCGATTTTCCTTTGATACCTTCCTTGTCTCCTCAGATAGGTATCAAAGGCAAAAGGGTATCCGCATAGATCAGTAAGATTTATGGTGGTGAAATTTATTAACAGAGTTAATTGAAAAATATTTATTACTCTCATTCTGCGTAAATAAAAATCATAAACCAGGTAGTCATTATCCAGATGGTCCTAAGAGCTCATTCAACCATAAGAGTGCTGGATATGAATAAATTAGAGCCCATAGCAAGAAGGATAAAATTGCATATTTTTATAATTACTACCATAATTTAATGTTTATTTGTTTATGTGTAACAGATGAACAATTGGTCTGCAGCAGTACAAGTGTAGCATGACTTTACATCCTTGGCTATGACTTCATACTCTTAAAATGCTTTTTAGATTACCACAAAATAGATTTCTACCCCAAAGGAAAAATTTTCAGTATTTTGGAAATCCAGCAAACTCTTCCTGGAAATTCCATGTCTAAAGTGGGTGATCTGGGATGTGCGTATTTAATTCGGCTCTGTCTCTTATTTCCCTTACATGTTGTCCCCTTTGCACAAGGTTCAGCACCTCTGGCAGTCACTTCAGCTTTGAGCAGATTACTAGAGATTAGAGGACCCACGGATGTTATTCTCACCTTTGACACAGAAATTCTTTTTAGGACTGTACGTGAGATGCGTCTATAAATAAGTAATGATATTTTTTATAATCATACCCTTAGTATAAAACTACGAGGGCTTTTGTCCCCCTCACAGTCATCTTCTGTAAAAGCTACACAGCTATTTCACCAATGCTGCCATGAGTCAAACTATTTGGGGGGTTCCTCTTTGGGGGGCTGCTATCAGAGCTAGTTTACAAGCCAACAAGAAAGCCAAATCTATACTTTTTATGTTGTATCTCAATTTTGACTAAATCCAAATATTCCTCCAAATTTTAGAGATTGGCTTTCTCTGATTTTTATCTATCTAAAGAAAATAAAATAAAATTCACTCTCCAAAGAGTAAGGTTTTCCACACTTAGAACATTCAGAATAATATACCTCAGGTGACAGAGTTGTGAGGCTCCAAATGGAGCCTGTTTTTCTAACACAGGCTACCTCATGGTCATATCACCAGAAACTTTCAAAGACTGTTAAGAAGAATTATCGTTTTTATCCTAGAATGTAGAAATGCCCCGTAAAAATATTTTTAACCTACCTTTCCAACTTTAGTTAACTATGACCTCCTCTCCTCCCCCCTCCCCACCCACAACTTGTTTTGCCTTCTTTGCATAACGTCAGCCAGGCTCAATCTTGTGTTTATGTTCTTCATTTTTCAATGAATTACTCGTTAATTGCTCTACTAAAATTTAGCCTTTTTATAGATCTTTGTGATTATTAGGTTTATGATTTTGCATCTAATTCTGGTCTTCCACCTGACTCAATTTTGTTGTCATCTAAAGGTGTTTATCTTCAGCATGATGATTATAATTTTGAAGCCAGCAGTGTGTCAGGTACTGCACTGGGGACAGACAACATCAGTCCACCCAGTCCTCGAGACAGCCTTAGGAGATGGGTACTAGCGTTCCCACTTAACGCCTCAGGAAGTGCGGATAACTTGCTAAAAGTCAGAAGACTGACTGAAAAGTGGAGAGATCATGAGTCAAACTCACATCTATCTTAAGGCAGGGTTTCTCAACCTCACACTGTGACATTTGGGGATGGATAATTCTTTGTTGTGGGGGCTGTCCTGTGCATAGTAGGATATTTAGCAGTATCTGTGGCCTCTGCCAACTAGAAGCCAATAGCACTCCCCCTACCCCATTGTGACAACCAAAAATGTCTCCAGACATTGCCAAATATACTCTGGCTGGTATTTAAGAACCACTGATCCAATGCCAAAGTCAGGCTTGAGCCACATTATACCATCAAATAAGGAAGTGATAAAACCATAGAATTTTAAGGCTCACTTTTAAAGAGATTGATTTTAGGAGTCACCACCCTGGCTCATCATCAAAATTGGAGATTTTTGAAGACTCTATTTCCCCACCCAAGACCTTCGGCATCAGCATTTGCCAGGTGAGGGACAGCTACCCATTTGTTTTAAACCTCTCCACGGTGTGTGAACCACAGATGCCATCCTCACCCCACTACACGTCTGTTCCTTGAATCACTCCACTCCATTCCTGCCAAATAGCTCTCCAGCCTTGGGTTTAACACCTTCCTGTGATGGTGTCACAGGAGACAAGTCCATGGTCAGCTGGTCCTAACGGAAAAGGCGTTCTTAGCATTCTTCCTTCCATCTCTCCCTTTATGCCCTTAATCTCATATTATCTGAATTATCATTTTTCTCAAATCAGTTGAATTAAACAGACACTTACTGAGTCCCAATTAGGTATTAGGCCTCTCCCCCCCCGCCCCCCCCCCCCCCCCCCGCCCTGAGCAGTTTTTTTTTTTTTACCATGGCCATTAAGACCATTATTGACTCTCTTTAAAAAGATGACCATCTAAGCAGTTTTCTCAGGTTAACAATAGACTTCCTCAAAGGGCAGTTACAATACATTGAAACCTTAAAATCTTACATGGTTTGTCACCCATCCAGCTGCTACCAGGAAGCAGCCTGCTCCGAAGCTGGTGGAGGTTCCTGTCCTAGGGAAGCAGAGCTCTCCCTCTTCCTCTAGACCCCTCACTCAGCACCCCTCTTTTTGATGGTTCCGGAAGATTCTAAAGTAGCTCCCCATCCTGGTAAAATCATTCTTTACCATGTGTTTTGGATTTCTTGATGAAAGCACAGAGAAGAAGAGAATTTTTTTTTAAATCTTGCTTTATGGTGCTCCTCTTGAGAATGTCATTTTTTATGAATGTGATAATTATAAATGAATGAATGAATAAATAGAAATCTAAGTTAATTCTATTAACATATCAAAATTCAGACTTATAGTTTACTCTTCTTTAAAATCAGGTAGTCCTTTCTGTTTGCGCTTTCATTCTCGTCTAAGTCACCATGATACTTTAGAACTTGTAGAAAACTGCTTCTCAGTGAAAGATATTGGATCATTGAAAGATTGTGATGGTGTGGACACTAGTATTGCTGAGGCAGCTTATGCCCCAGTGTCTAAGGTTAAACCTGCAGGTGACCAGTCTCTTTGACGTGTCAACATGTGTAGCTAGTGAGCTATAAATGTGTGCCAGCAGTCCTGGCTCGCCTGGATGGATCTCCAGTAGGCAGGTTGTGTTTAGAGAAAACCAAGGAGAAAATAACATGTTAACCGGAATAAACCGTTTGGGGTCAAAATAACAATCCGGTGTTTTTGTACTTGTGTGAGATATAAAAAGAAAGCTTGAGTTTCGCTTGGGCTTAGTACGAACTTGCAAACTTGTTGCTTCTGCTTGGGCACCTCCAAAGAAGTGCCTGGACAAAGGGAACACCGGCTGAACCCCTCACATCTTTGATTGCTCTGGAAAGCCAGGGGTCTTTAACGAGTATCCATTCGCTTCCAGAGTTTTATAAATGGACACTGACATGGACTACGAAAGACCCAACGTTGAAACCATCAAGTGTGTGGTCGTGGGAGACAATGCCGTGGGGAAGACACGCTTGATCTGTGCCAGAGCATGTAACACGACGTTAACACAGTATCAGCTGCTGGCCACCCATGTACCAACCGTGTGGGCGATTGACCAGTACCGGGTCTGCCAGGAGGTAAGATGTGCGGAGTTTTTTTAGAATCTTAAGGGCATGTCACTGCTATTGCCACTCTGAGTTTTAAAAGTGGGGGAGGGGTTAACTTGTCCATTCAAAACAAAACTAATCTTTTTAGTGCCACGAGAGTAAACAAAAGCAAAATGCAAACTTGGGAGTATGGCTGTGGTATCGTGAACGAGGAGGGTTTGAGTCATGTGAGTCAAGGAAAAGAATTAGGACTTACCTTAAGTCTGTTAGACAGAATGAGAAAACTAAAGGCAAGTGGGCCTCGAGGGGCACTGACCTGGTTATCCTTCTCCCGGGAGCCTCTGACTGACACTGAGCATGGATGCTCTCTCTCTCATGCAGGTCTTGGAGCGTTCCCGGGATGTTGTTGATGAAGTGAGCGTTTCTCTCAGGCTTTGGGATACTTTTGGCGATCATCACAAAGACAGGCGTTTTGCATATGGCAGGTAAACCAAGACTAGTGCAGTTCAGCTCAGCTTGAGTATCATTTCCTTTCCAAAACCCGCAGCTGCTTCATAAATCAACAAAAACCACATCACATGGCCTTGAAATGTGTTGGGTTCTGCACTGTGTCTAAGAAAAGAAAAGAAAAATAAAACCAGAACGGCATTGTTTCCTGTTGTCAAGAAAAGCTGTCTGCCTTGCCACTTGGTTCCTCTCAGGAAGTACCTTATTTAAAACAACCGCTGTTGGTTAAACTGGGACGTTGGCTAGAGGAGGATTTGTTGTGCCCTCCTGCCTTGGGCTGCTTTGATTGCTGTTTTCCTGAATGATACTTTACTTGCCTTCTGTTAGAATGTTTTAAGTTATTTTAGCACTTGGCCACCCCACTTCAGAAGGTCTCTTTGGTCTTTTCATGACCATATTAGCAGAGTTTGATGTTATTTGCTTTGGGCCTTTTTATCTGAAAAGTGTATTATTTTTATTTGAAGGTCATTTTCAAAAAGAAAGAAAAATATCTCTGCAGTCCTTCACAAGGCACATTTCCAAAATGAACTGAAGCACAAGTGTCTATTTTTCATTAAAAGAAAAAAAACTAAGAAGAAGGAAAAATTCAGTAAAGGGACGATTAATCTAGAAGGACATTAATATGAGTAGGAACGTGGTCAAAGTGCCTTAAAATATTTAGCAACTTCTCCTTGTCACCATAACTTAGAAGTCCCTCTCAGTGAACGCATTACAGCTATCAAAATCCAGATAAGGAGATGTTCTTACCCCTTAATTCTAAATTAACACCGTTCATTTGACGTCTAGAATTTAGGTCTCATGAATCCGTCGTCCCTTGCTAACACCAGACATCGCCTTCCCTCACAGATTGGGCTAGAGTCCGAGCACAGGGGTGACTCCTTGGTATTGAGAGAAGCCTTTCTGAAAGTACCTCTGTTTCTTCAAGTCAGTAGTTCTCTTAAGCCTCTGAATAGACTCCTGTTAGGATTGACCCAGGTGGTCTAAAATATTGGATAAACTGCTGAAAGAGTTTCCCCTCTACCTGAGAAGTGGTTCACTCACTGAAAGAATCTGCGATTTAGACCAGTTTGTTCAAGGGGATTCAGAAAGAGACAGATAGAAGTAAGTAAAACTTTGATTTTAATGTCCCCTTGGTAACAAGCACTTGTGAATATCCAACATCGTAGATACTTTTCTTCTTGAGTTTCCTTTTTTTTTTCTTTCCACGATGTTCTTGATTCTTAGTTGCCATTTTGGTTTTTTCTTTTGTCCGATATTCCACTCATAAAAAATAAGAAGAAATGAACCTGCTTGTAAGTACTATGCAGTCAGATTTGTAATGCTGGTGCTTTTAAGGAAGCATGTTAAAAGGTTGACTTTAAGCCAAATAAGGATAGACACAGTAGATTTCAAAGGGCTGTTTGTACCCTCACTGCTAAAAAGGTATGGAAAGGATGGGTCTAACGAGGAGCTTCCTGAGATGTTTGGGTTTAGTTGTCATAGACTATATCAACAGCTCAGTGGTTTGTTGCCACTTGAAATCCATGCTTTTGAAATAATGAATTTTAACTTGGCCCCACAACGTAAAACTTACATTGTGGTAATTTAAGGGCTGTTTCATTATCACGTGCTTACCATGGACTTAATGGAGCAATGGCCTTCATAGATCTAGTATTGACTGTTATCTACACTGGGCCTCATCCAGCTCCCTGATGTATCTGGAATCATTTTAGGACGTGTCGTGCCTGTGCTTGTTCACTCCCAACAAAAATAAGCTGCTCTTTCATGTGATTCCATCAGTTCAAAGTGCATTGTTCTGCTCCCTTGTCTGTAATGTTTGGTTCTGTCAACTGTAACCTGTTCCCCCTTTGATGGAAACAGGATGTGCTTTCCAAGCCAAGTTTGATTCTCCAAGCAACACAGAGGGGTTTCAGGAAGCATCCCGTGTTTCTGGCCGAGTTCTCCGTGGGCCTCACTTTATGTGCATGTTTGTACCTTGTATTTCCTCTGTCTTTTTCTATCCTCCGCAGCCTCCAGGCGTCCTGCCACAGCCCCCACCACTGGTGAGGAACAAAAACCAGAGCTGTTCTGCCTCGGCCTCCAGCATCTTTCTGTAAACACTAGATATGTAATACCACATTGATGCAGCACCAAAAAATTACATTTTGTGGAAAAGTCTGATAGTAGTAGGAGTTTCTTTTATTCAGCATCAGGCTCTGACCACTGCATTTCATTGTTGTGCAAAAGCTGTTTGGTTTCTTTGTGACTTCCATTTTTAGCTTTATATCATTCATAAAGGAGAAAAATCTTAATTACAGTTTCTGACAATCCACTTGGTTTGAAACCCTGTTTTTGACTGATGTTTTCACTATACTTGGTGTGAATTACAGGTCAGTGGGATGGGATATATTCCTTACACTTGGAAATGTATTTGGAACATTTTTAAAATAATTCATTTGATTCTTGTGATGACAGTGAAAGAAACCAGATTCATACCGAGATGCCTTAGACCTCGCCTTCAGTTTCTTCTGCTTCTTAGCGCTAAGGTAGTTAATAAGTTGCCCTCTCAACCATTCTTTGGCATGGACAAGCTCTGGTTTGCAAAGTAAATCCTGTGGGTCAAGGTGGTGTCACTCCACTAACTTGAATTTGCAATTTTCTTATTGTGTTATAACTGTAACCAGAATGTCATTGCTCCCTTCATGATTTAAAGGCAACTATTCAACTCATTTTTTAGCCAACTAGAATAATATCTCCAATTTATCAGAGATCTACAACATGCCAGTCAAAATATTAGCCGCTTTGCCAACATTAGTTTAGGTTATCCTTTCAAGGACCGTAGAAGGCAGAGATGATCTCCAAGCTACGGTTGAGTAGAGACCTGAGTTCTTTTACTACCATACCTTGTCCAGTAATGAGTTTCAGAGACAGACTCAAACCCAGCTCTGCCTGACTCCTGGCTCCCACTCTTTCCACTGTGCCAAGCCACCCCAACCTGATTTTAAATGAGACACAACTGAAAACCACCCCACATTCATAAGCTGGGTGTCTATTTGCTCTTCCATCTTTGTGCAGAGGGTTAGAACTAGAAGATATCCCAAAAGATCAACTGATTGACCCTATTTCCTCAAGAAGGGAAAGCATCTATCCAAGAAAAATATTGATAGGAGGACTTTGATGAGGATGAAGGTGACAGAGTAGCAGCGTCAAAACACCTTAACACGTGTGAAATCTGTCAAACCCTCTCTGGTCTGGAGTGAAGGACTCCAGCTCCCTTGTAGGCTTTCTTCCCACCACCGACTTTCTATCCACTTTTGGATGAACTTTTGAAGCTCTTATCTGGATCTTTTAAAATGTCAAGGACAAAACTGTACATAGTAACCATGACTGTGATCAGCTGCTCTTTTTTGGCAAGAAAAGAGCCTCTTTTTAAAGGGATTTCACTCAACTCAAGAGTTTTTCCCTGTAAGTATTATAAGAATTAAATGTTCACACTTAGGTACCTGGCACTGAAATGTAGACTAATAGGATGGGCTCTGCCTTCCACAGGACATCTGGGCCCCTCTGCCCCTCTGCTATAGTCACACCATTGTTGTTTCCTTTTCTTGAAAACCTCCATCGTTGATGTGTCTCAGGGTTAGATAACCTTCAAACCTTAACAAAGCCTGTGGCGCTGGAGGTGGTGATAACAGAGCTATGGTTTAATCAGGGCTCCCCATGAGCCAGGCCTGTGCTAGGTTCTCTGTGTATCTTGTCCCACTTCATTCCTGTGGTGACCCTGCAAAGTAGGCTCATTTCACGGTTGAGCAAACAGGCACAGAAAGGGGCCAAGGTCAGACAGCTAGGAAAGAACTGAACTTTCCCCGTTAGTTCTACCTAACTCCAAAGCTTGTATCTTCCCTTTCCACTATGCTGTTGTAGCTGATGATGATGATGGATGCAAACTTACTTTAAAGTTATTCCTAGTCCAAGTCTAATTACTGAACACCAGCGTTCACTGTGTATCATCGGCTCTAATATTCCAGTGTTCCTCTTATGTGCCTTAGTGCATGGTAATCACTTAATTCTTTATATGCATCCGTGAGTAGTTATGTATGAGTCCTTTCACTTTCAGTAAAAATCGTAGATCCAAGCAAACTTTTTGAGGGTGAGTGGGTATCTTGGGCACTTTTGATGGCATACTTTCTTTCCAAAATTTGACTTAAGCATGCAGAACCACTGTATTTGCCCTTACACCCAACCATTTCTGGGCATGTTTTCAGTCCAGTTGGAACCCATTTACTATATAGATATTCTTACATGGTGATTTTTCGCAAATGTTCTTAGCTCCTATGAGAAGTACAGTACATGTTTTAAATAACATTAATCAGAGCCATGGTTTCCATGTGTCTATATCGATAAGATAGGTCTAGTTTCATAGTGAAGGCAACATGTAATTAGATACAACATGAATACATCCCATTTTGATTGCTCAGTTGAGACCTTTTAAAAAATTCAGGGCTATGGGTGACTGGTGTTTGTGTCTTTGTCTGGAGTTGGCTGGACTTGTGGTTAATGGTAAGGGAAAAAGCAAGAAACAACGAATGCATCTAGATGGAGTGTTTTGAATTAGCTCATATTGTCCGTGGCACATTCGAAATGCTGCCAGAAGTAACATTCTAATGATGCTTTCAGGACGAAACAGCCTGTTGTTGAGTGCAACATATCAGGTGGAGGTGGACCAGGGTGATGTGAGTCAGGCACATACCTTGGGTGTACAAATGTGAATAATAATACTTTTTAGAAGACAGGATCACTATTACTGAAATTTCCTTCTACCTGAGGTTCAGTATGTCACTATTACTGGTCCTGACTTTATTTAAAATTTTGATATTTGGTTCATCATGGAGTTCTTTTGACTTAAGTCGATTTTTAAAAAAACATTTGTTCATCTGGATGACTGACTTTTTTGGTGCCTCTTTAAATTTGGCTCCTAAGCAAGTGCTTCACTCTTTACCCA